ACACTTGTTGGAAAAGTACGTGTTGTTGTTTAAATGTTGTAATCCAAGAAATTTTTCAAGATGGAATGTGAAGCTTCATGTATGTATTTCTTATTCAAGTATTAACAATGTATTTATTTGTTTCTTGCCTAATAATAACGGCAGCTTTTGGTGGACTTAATTTTATTCATTCTTTTTTGTATACGGCTAATTTCTGCGAGGGCTACAAAAAAAGTTCCACCGAGTTCCACTCTCGTTTTTTATGTTATAGTTAGATAGGACCTTTATCTTTAAGAGCTTACAAAAATTTGCGTCCCCAAGTGTCCTCTGTCTGATACAAGTTATTTTATTTAGAGGTAGTCACAACAACGTTGATCTCCCCAAAATCACTAGAAATGATTTTTTTTCTGTTCTACAAAGTGATAAATTCTTTAAACTGTTGACTGCTAAGTGCATTGAAAAAGTAGAACGGTACATATTAATTAAATTTAATACATCAGAAATTCCCACGTGCTCGGAAAAACGTTTTAAATGTACTATAAAGATATTCTTGTCGAAACTTAACAAAAAGTGGAAGATATGCAAAGGTACAACCCGCAAGATTCACCAAAAAATATGCTTTATGGATAGATAGATAATAAATCTTAGATTAGACTCTAATATCTCTGCAACACCCACGGCAGAAGAAGTAAGAAATTATCAAAAACGTGGAAGACCAAAAATTTTTTTCGATGAGAGCTCTGTACGGTAAGTTAAGAAAAGTAGGACCTCTTGTGTTAAGCATGTCCAAAGAAACACTTTGCAAAGCTGCAGAAATGAGTCTGTTCAAAAGTGAAGAAAGAATTTCGGCGTAAGTTATAAAATTAGCTATAAGCTTGTCTCCGCGCACAGAGAAAAAACCAAAGAAATTCATAATTCGTCATATTTTGATTCATGGCTATATACACTTCAGAAGAAGTATTAGCTTGTAAGGTTGTATCACTCACGGAAGACATCGAGATTGGAACCGGACAGAGATATAATGAATAGAATGCTACTGTCATCAGACCCCCTGATTACAAATACAAAAAAAAAGCGAAATAAACCCTTTTTCAGAAGCTGTACTGAGTATGTTACTTTTTTAAGTTATAGTTTAGATGGTGTACAAAGTGATATAAATCCAGATAGTGACTGATAATTCCGAATAAAAAACTAATTTCTGTACATTATTTGTATTTCAGTTAATTATTAAAATAATGACGTAAAGCGTTCTCAAAATGTATGTGCATTATTTTCACGTATTTTAGTAGTGTTATATAAATGATTAAAACTTGACGCCTTAATTAGATAACTAAATAAAATTTTATTTATAAACTACTTTTTATGCATTTTTATGTGAAACCTGACAGTCTATTCAACAACTTACATTGTTCTTTTAATTAAATCTAAGCAAAAAAATTACTTTGAAAAATACAACTATTTTTGGCGTGCTAATTTCCGCTAATTGCCGTATGTGCGTGGAAGGAATATTTTCTGGTGGTTCGTTTTTGAATTCAACATTCATATCTGCAAGGATGACTGGCCTTCCTGGTGGAACATTGACTCGTTTGCGCCTGTTTGTTCTTGTTTGCAATTCAGGGTTTCTATTTTCTTTAAGAAATGCCAGTAGCGATTTATCTATTTCACCGCCTGGGGGATTATCTTCAGTCATAAGTCTTTGAGGCAGACGTTTTAGATTTTCCTGTGGATTGTTGGGCCAAATACCCGATGCGCGAAATCCGGACAACACGTTTTTCTTTGAATTTGCTTCAATTGCTTCTAAAGATTTCCTGAGAAGTTTTGGAAAATCTTTCTTCTGAAATGGACCTTTTCTTTTGGACTTCCACTCAGTCAGAATTCTCCTCCATGTTTTCTTAAGGGGCGCAGAAAAAGCAACATCCAGCGGCTGGCAAAGGTGGGTGGCATTTGGTGGAAGTAGGATGAATTTTATATTCTGACGTGCACATTCCTCAATAACTTCTACTGTTAAGTGACTGGACAAGTTATCACCAATTAAAATTTTCGGCCCATCCTTTTTTCTGAAATAAGGTAAAGCTATCTGGCGAAACCATTCCAAAAAAGTTGTTGAATCGAACCATCCTGAGCTGCTCACACTTTAACCACATCCATTCGGTCCATCTTCTTCCCATTCTTGATACCGATGCTTAGCCTTATACACCACGAAGGGTGGAAGAAGGTCACCACTTGCTGAAGCCGACATCATTACACTTACGCTAGATTTAGACGAATCCATTATTCGATCGCAATGTTTCGATCCTCTTTTACAAATCACCTTGACTTTACCCGGGTCATCACTAAAATTAGTTTCGTCATAGTTAATTATTAGCGATGGGTCAACATTTTCCAGGGATGTTCGGAGCTCACGAAAATATTCCATTAAAGTGCCTTCACTTACTTGTGCCCTACATCTTTTTATATTTTGACAAAATATTGTCGTAAGATTACGGTGTCGGGATAAAAATGATTTTACCTAATCGTGTCCCGGAAGGTTATCACGGAATTTTTTTATATTCACCCCTCTCCTGTCTAGATATTGTTTGACTATCATTCGGACATCGTACGGAGAAAGAGGAAATCCCCATTCTGCCGCCAGGTTAATGGCCACAACCAGCCTTCCTTCTTCTTCTGACGATAATATTGTCTGGCCGCCGACTTTTTTGACATTAACATTCCTAATTCTGTCGCTAATAGTCGATTTAAGTACACCAAAATATTCAGCAGATTGCCGTATGGTTTTCCTGTGGGTTTTCACATCACGGATGGCATTTTCTAGTTTTTCTGGTTTATAATTTTGGTAGCTTCTACCACCTACCACTTTCTTATAAATTCGGCCCATGTCCGAAGTCGCCCCCTAAAAACGTATAATTTTGTTATCACCCCTGTATATGAAATGTGTGTAAAGATAAACAAACAAACTCCTGGCTAAAATATTCTCAAAACATCACCCTTCCTACTAGTATAAACAAAAATTGTACTAAAATATGCAAATGAGGTGGGCACAACTTACCTACTTTTCAGTATCTTTTGAATTAAGAAATTCTTACCAAAACAAAAATTACGTGAAACGGAAAACTGATCACGACGTGCGACCGCAACACACCATCATCTAACGGCAACTAAGTTGTAAACATTTGGGTAACATACTAATATGGGCTATCTTTTACACTGTTGCCGCTGTGAATGCATATTCAAAAAATCTACCTGTTGTCCGAAGCGACCCCAAATGGCCGAAGTCACCCCGTTTGACGGTACAATTTGTAATTTGTAAACTGATCATGCCTTTTATTGTCCATTATTTTTTTTTGCTAAATTTTTTTGTATATAAACTGATATCCTGTAATTAGGTTGTAAAACCTGTTGGGTATTAAATAAATAAATACAAAATTGGACAGCAAGGTGGTTTTTTTATTCGACCATCCCTTCTTCCCAAAGTGGGAAGGAGATGATCTCTTGTGGCTCCTCGGAGTTTTCATGTTAAAGGTCATCGATTGTCATTGTCATTTTTTCTGGCTCGAAGTCCTCCACTGTTGGCTTGAATTGGGGGGAAGTGGGTCCTTTACTAAGAAGTCTTCACTGGACCCCGCTTCAGCCTCTTTTTCGACCTTTGACCTTATAGTCATTGAGATGAACGCATAGCTCATCCTCATTGATTTGGCCTTTAGGGTTCTCATGTCTTCGTCTCCGATGCCTAAGACGAAGAGATGGCCCTTGGGGTATTTTTTCAACCTACGTTTATAGAACTTTTTTTTAACAAAATAACTTCGGCGATCATTCCCTAAAATCTTTCGCAATTATTTACAAACAATGTATACAAATTTCTCGAAAATCCTTAAATACGTTGATACTGTTTTGACTAAAATGAGATGGATGTTAAAATATTTACGGGAAAATAATTTTTGTTTACGGTTCTCGTGATTTTTTTTTTTCATTGGTGTCTTTGGCTTCGACAAATTAGTGGTCTAAGATCCGAAGTAAGGTCGACCTTCATCCATCTGTTTAATGGATGAAAGTTTCTTTTTATTAAATAAAATGTTTATAAATATACCGCAAATGGGTTGCCTTCGACTGTGCTCAAACTTTAATCAGCTTACTGCAGGATGGATTAAGACTTAGGTTAAAAATTTGGTGTTTTTGTCTTTATCCGTTTTTGAGTTATGTTCAAAATTCGAAATTTGCACTTTTCCTCAAATATTTCGAATTAGGTCCAATTTAGAAAATCATGTATAGAAACAAAATAATACAGAATGACATCATAAGCAAGTTTTATCATGATTTCTATACTTTTCTTATCTGTACACTGAAAGGAAAGTAAAAAATTGCCGTGACCGTATTTTCTTAGGCAACCCATTTGCGATATATTTAAAAATATACTTTATTTATTAAAAAAAACTTATCCATTAAATAAATGGGTAAAGGTCGACCTTACTTACGGATCCTGGACTATGGGTCTCGTCTCGTCAGTCTCGTCTTCTATGTAGGTTATGGATTGTACTAGTAGTCTAATACTTCATAGTGCAGGAGTGCTAGTACTCTAATATTCCTGCATTTCTACAGACAGCCCTTAATACTGTTTCCCAGCGCCACTTTAGGAACAGTACTGTTAATTAGAATCCAACAGTGAATGGTCGGAGTGGGGAATCCTACTAATGCATCAGAATTATTTTTAAATAAATTCGAACCGCGGACTCTTCGATTAGCAAGTCCAGACTCTACCATTGAGCTACCCTCCTACCCGGTTCTCGTGATTTAAATAGTGATTTATTTTATATTTGTATTAAAATGTATTATGGATCGTTTTTAACAATGTTTATAAAACGTTAGTTTTAGTTGGAAATACCTAGGTATACCCTACCCTATCTTGATAATCACTAAATTCTCTTCTAGTTATTTTTACTTTTTTAAGATACGTAAATACGATGAATACTGTACAAGTTGTAATATTTTCACCTCTTGCATATTTAATGCAACGATTGTTATTTTAGGGGACCGACATAACGGAAGCATTCGAAGTTCATCATTTAACAGATCTGCCCAAAGAGATGCTTCAAAAATACTTCGTTAAAAAAGCCAAAACTAAACGAAACTCGCCCTACACATTTGAAGAAGATGGTTTTTACAAAACTTTAAGAAGAGAAATTCAGCCAGTTCTAAAAGTTGTTCCCAAACAATCTTACAATAATACTAACTTTTTTACTGATACGTTGATGGTATTAACTTTTATTTTTTCCACTTTTGCTTTGAAACATTGGAGTTTTACGATGGGAACAATAGGGGGACTATTGTTAGGAATGCTTACGGTAGCTGCTCACAATTATTTACATATGAGGGATAATTTAAGGATGTATTACAGTCAGTTTTCATTGTTTCAAGTCAGGTTAGTATAATTATGGCATGTAATATTTAATATACATATCTGTTTATAATTAAGTTCACATCCCTGTACAGCTTGATTTGTTTAATTTTGTTGTTGTTTCGATCTGGAGACTTGTGGAGATGTTTCCTGTAGTCTGAACTAAAGAGGAGTGCAGTAAAAGTAGGGATATAACGTCATATTTAATAGGCGTACTTTGCAAAATAATATACTTTGCATAATATAAATAAGGTCACAGCATTTAAAATGTTACATACGCACTTCATATATTACATTTTGAATAAAAAAAGTTATAATATTTACAAAAAATTGGAAGAAACCTTATGCCTCTTATGGCTGTTTTCAAGAGGTCCATACTGTACAAAAACCGCCGCTAAAAACGAGCAAATGGAACTTTTTATGCTGGGAAATACCTTTGAAGCGCGAAATCGTACCTGATCATTTATGAAAATTTTGTATATTTTCGATTTCAAGAGAATATCTTTTTTTCACCTTTTGCTGTCCTTTACTATCTGCAATCGAATTTGATCCAGGTAAACTATTTTATCTGTTGTCATGCCTTTTCGTTATGTACACACTTTTTCCGGCAAGTCAGAAAAGGCTTTACATCGGTGGTATTATGTTTCAATTCCAGAAATCCCTCATGTTTACTTTTCTGTCATCCTTGCGCTAACCATAGTAAGTACTCGCCATTTTTCACTTGACCTGAACAAATATTGTCTATTATGGCTGACCACAAGTGTCCGCACGACGAGAACAGAAAAAAAGTGTGTGCCCCTTGCGGGAAAAAATTACTTGTGACACAAAAAAATTGGAATAATTTCTGATAAGCGAGCGACATTTAAACTTGGTAAAAAAAATTTCAAATCCAAATTATAATCTTTGTGATTCCAAATTCCGTGTGAGTATTTGTGATAGCTGCAGAAGAACTCTCAACAGCTATGACAAGAATGATACTACGAGACCACTCCCAAAAATGCCAAATTATGAGGATGTATTAATACTAAAAGTAACTAGAAATACTCAAAAACTATAACGGGCAGAGGTACCATGCGGAACTTAAAGACGGTAATAGATAGCAGTTATGGACTAAATGGCGTATCTAAAATTGACAAACTGCCGTGCAAATTGAAAATTGACCAAGAAAGGACCATCATCAACGTTTGAAAAATATGTTTCCAAGAAGTTGGGCGGGTAAAGGTACATCCCTGTGGCTCTGCATCAGTTGCTCGTGACAATTGTCAAAACCTAATAGTCAATAATCTGCCTCACAAACAGCAAGAACAAGTTGCTTCGTACATTATAAATCGGAAAATAGAATCCATTGGAACTAATAGCAGAACAAATGTTGACTTGGAATTGAGTACGTTGGGGTCAAAACACAGAATTACCATCAATCCAGCCTCAAGTTCACCAGGTAACTTTCAGTTCTGATACGTTAGACAAGACAATATTGGGGCCTCACAGAAACAAATGAAATCACCAATCTCCTGCGATCATCTGCTGGAAAAAAATCTGTACCAGCGTATTTTTTCAAACACACATCAGACCGTTCAAAGTTATTTGAGGATGTTTACCACAATTCTATGCTCAATTGCGATATTGTAGGTTCCAAGCCAAAGGAGCAAAGACCCGTCATTTGGGCAAATGCATCAGAATTATTGGATGCTATAGTTAAAAAGCAGAATATTATTGGCAATGTCGTAGTGAGAATTATGGCCGACTGAGATCAAGAGTTTTTCAAGATCTGTATGACCATACTGCCCGAAGGTTTCCTTTGTGATGACAGTGAAGGTAAAGGTGGTGAAAATTATAAAGTGTTGGAGAAAAAACGAAAACTGTACGCAGAAAGGGATAGTGTGGGCGTAAAACCGAAATTGGGCAGGGTAAATAGATTGCTGTTGTTATGCACTATGCCAAACATCAAGGAGCCTTACGATAATTGCAAACTTCTATTTGATTTGGTTAAAATCAATGACATCTCTTTCAAATTTGTTTGCGATTTAAAGCTGTCTATTGATTAACGGGCAGCAGACAGCTACATCGTCTCACCCCTGTCCATTTTGTTTTGTCAGTTTTAAAACCTTGCGAAATTGCCAACACCTTTTTTGGAAAGGATTAGTGCCTCTGCTTGGAAGAGAGAAGATACTTGTCTGGGCACGAAAAGTCCAAGTGATTTCCAAGAATTACCATGGAGAAGTGTTTGAAGGTAATGCGTGCCGGAAATTATTAAAAAATGCTGATATACTCAACGATGAAGCTATCTAAGGCCAAGTTGGGTATTTCAAAATTCTGCCCTTTATCCATGCTTTTAAGGAGATGAATAAACTTGTGGAGTGCTGTTTTTCCAGAGGCCCAGTTCTTTCAGACATAGAAAAAAGAGTAAGTGAAGTGCGCAAAGCATTTTTGGTGGCTGATATTTCAGAAACATTGAAAATCCATCGAGACGAGACATCTAACTGATTGTCTGAAAGTTTTATCTGGCTTTCGACTAGGACATTGGTCAGAGCAAGCTGTCGAAATTTTTGGAACAGATATAAGATAAATTGTGTTCAAGATTCTGGTTACCCAGAGAAGTTAAAAAAAGCACTTGTCGCGTTTTCTTCTCAACATATATGATCAATTTATGTTATAAATAAGCTTTATCTATTAAATTTATTTGTTGAGATATTTTTGTTATTTTTTTGGTCAATTTGTTGTCAAAACAAACTATTTGTTATTTCTTGTAGTAATCAAATTTTGATAAACGTTCTGTAAGATCGTGCATAGGCAGATTTGTTTCTAAAGATTAATCTAAAGTAATTATTTTCATTGATTCTGATTTCTTTCAAGATCATATCGTTTGTGAAAAGTATCTTTTTTTTAAATATGAAAAATAGAGAAAAAACATTCACAGATGAGTTTTTTAATAGAACCCATTTACCATTCCTACTAAAATGTGTTCTAATATCTACATAAGAAGTTCCAGAAGTATATACTTATTTTAACCGAAGTTAGATTGTAGACAGTAAAAGAGAACTTAAATTGTAAAAAAAAAATCTTGAAATCGAAAATATAGATAATGTCACCATTTTCATAAATGATCAGGTACGATTTCGCCGTTATTCAGCATAACAAGTTCCATTTGCCCTTTTTTAGCGGCAGTTTTTTTACACCCTGGACCACTTAAAGACAGCCGTGATTCTGTCAAAATTGTTGCACTTAAAATTAAACGAATTAAATTTAACCATTAAATATAAAGAAGGATTATATGTTGTTAATGGAAGTAAACTTTTTTAATCTCTTGGTATTAAAAGTAACAATATCTAATATAAATAGTTCAAGAACTATCTTTAAAGGTCACTGTCTTTACTATAACTACTAATTGGTATAATTATCATTGTCTTTTTCGAGGTTTATTATTACAGGGTCTATTATTCATTGCTATATCCATTTTCTTTATTTACATCTAAAACTGCCTTCAAAAACAAATTTCGCACATCAGGTAATTTAAATGTATTGTTTCAAGAAACATAACCTTTTAATAAGGATAATTTCCAGATCGTAGCAGAATTTTATATAAATAAAAATTTCCTTGGTGTAATCGGTCATAAATTTTATTTTATATTGTTAGCACCGCACTACATATGTTTCGGAAAACTTTATTTCCATCTTCGGGTGCAGTAAAAATTTAAAAACATTAAAAAAACACATGGGGACAACAATTACACACAGTTTTAAATTTTTAAAATATCAGAAACCCCATCTTTTTGTAGGAGGTATTATCAAATGCTCCTTCAATGTCAAGAAATGCTCCTAGGACTATTTCTTGGCTACTCACTCCTCCCTCTATCTTGGTTACAAGATGATGCAGAGCAGACTCACAAGATTTTCCTGATTGATAGGCATGTTGGTTTGTATGAAATGGCCTTTCTCAGAGTAGTTTGCCGGACATGCTGATCAATCAGTTTTTCCAATCCTTTTAATAGAAATTACGTCAGAGTTATTGGTCCATAGGCCTTTGCCACGGCGTACGTTGGACGCCCCGGTTTAGGTATGAAGACAAATAGTATGTTTACATATGGAAGAGACCCAAATCAATGCATGCTGACATCATACATAACAAAGTATGGCAAAAATGTTTTGATGTTATCCACTTTCCACGATGACGACGAAATAAATGCTGGAACTGGTGACGAATCGGTTAATACATTTTATAACCTTACAAGGGCACAGTCGACATTGCAGACAGAATGAAAACTGAATACTCCGTTACAAGAGTGACCTCTCACACTGTTTTGCTCATTGCTGAACATTGGAGGAATACATTTCAGGATAATTTGTGCCAGTAACACCGGCGATAATCTTTCTCGGAGACAATTACTAAGTGAGTTAAACCCTATTTACTGAAGCATGCCAGAATCCAAGCTTTCAATCCCCTTGAGGCAAAAAATTTGAAATGTTCCTTGGTCGTGAAGTACCAGCAGAACCAGCCAACTAGGAACCAATTGGTTCTGATTGGTGAAAGCCAATAATTTCGTCGCTTTCTGTTAAAAAGCTATTTCTATCATGTTTTTTGTAAATTTAATATTATTTGCAGATGAAAATATGATATATTTGGAAGAATGGTGCTATTTTCTATTTTTATGTGTAATTTTTTGAGTGTGGTAATTTCATGTCGAAAAAAAACAAAGTATATACCATTTACCTTATTACACTCTTTATCCAAGTTTCAATACAGGTCTTGTTTCTTCCTAGTGGCTTTTTCGGATGTGAGACTTCTTTTCTTTATTAATGTTATACACTATTATTGTTAAAGATGAGTTGAAATAAATTGTGATAACAAAAACCTGTGTAACATTGGTGACAGCGGTGGGATATATAAAGTAAAATTTGCCCAAGCATTCTACATGGTAATCCACTGCGCACAAAACGAAACAGATATGGATACTTCAGGCCCACCAGCATGGTTTTTGAAGATATAAGAGAAAAAGGCGAGAAGAGGAAAAGGAAAGGCGTAGGAAGAAAGAAGAGGAGGAAAAAGAAAGGCACAGGATAGCAGATAAAGAGGAAAAGAAAAGGCACATAAAGGATGAAGAGGAGGAGGAGGAGGAGAGGTGCAGAAAAGAAGCGAAAGAAATTATGAACGGTTTGCTACAAATCCAGGAAACTTTTAAACAAGAGGCTGGTCAGCTTAACAATAGAATAGATCTTTTGGCACAACAAATGCTTTTAAAAACTAATGTAGCAATAGCAAGAGAAGGTAAAAACGAATCTGGAGTCACAACAAGAGCATATAAAAACTCATTTAGAACAGCAGCAACAAAACTTAAAAACCAATTAAGAACAACAACAAGAGAATTTAAAACAACATAAAAATGCAAGGGTAGAGTTAGAAAGGCAAATTAGAGCTGAAATGGTAGAGTAAGAAAGAAGAATTCGTAGCCAGGCTTTGGTAAGCAACATTGAAGCTGAAAACTCTACCTCGTCCTCATCTGTAATCAAACTAAGCCATATTCAAAACCCAGTTTCACAAATCTATACTAGCCAGATCATTGAGCCACCCACGTTTAACGGTCAGACGACATGGGAAACGTATCGCCTCCAATTTGAATCTGCAGCTAGAGCCAATTGCTGGGCTAACAAGGAGATGTATAAGCAGCAACCGTTTTACAATTAATACCTCAATAAAAACCCAGTTATTCATCTCTCGTCCAAGGTTTGGAGACAAGATATGGCCAGCAGCATTTGAAACGGGTATTCTAAAGCCAGCTAAAGGTAAATTCGAGGCCAATATAAAACGATTGATTCATTTGGCCTATCCACAGGCACCCAAAGATTTCTAAAAACAAATCGGCATACAGGCATTTATTGATGGACTAGATGTGGAAATGCAGCAAGGTCTACATTTACAACATCACAAGACGCTAAAAGAGAAACTGATTGCGGCCGAGGAATATAAAGCGGTAAAACTCCTATCCAGATCGTCTCGCGCGAAAGTGAGAGAAATTAAATCACAGGAAAGTGAGGAGGCCAAAAATAATGCTATTCCCTATCCTACCTTCTCGCAAATCTTAAATAACCTGCAAAATATGCAACGAAATGACCAAAAAAGGGAAGTAGATGTTTCAATTGTGGAAGAATCGGGCACCGTCAAAGAACCTCTAGAAGCAGAGCTTGTTCTATAAATCGAGAATCAGGGAATGAGGCCGGAAAGTCACATAGATCAATCTTTCGAAGTTCAACAAGAAATAGTCACAGCAGCTCTGCGTCCGAAGAAGCCAATCAATTACCCACACCGAGCCGGCTTTCTAGCAATAATCAGAAAGTAGAGCATCATAAAGACCGTCTCCATAACAACGCAAACGTTCTTTCCAGGCGATCCTGTTTAGAACGAGAATGCCGGTACAGTAAAGGGTTTGGAGAACGGGAGAAATAGGTTGATGAAGTTACTCTTTGGACAACCGCTATCAAACCAGAGGACGACGAAGAAGAAATCACCCTTGAAAGTCTGAGAAAGGGGTAAAAGAAAGACAATGACTTGAAGATTGTTCGAAATATGGCTCAAAAATAAAGTTACACCTACTTGGCAAGAGATAGGTAAATACAGTGAAGCTACTAAAGGGTAGTGGACTCACTGGGATTTCCTGTATCTTCACCGAAAGTGCGAAAGCCCTGATAGAGTACATGTAGTCCGCCAAGTTTTACTGCCGAAATCACATGTCTCAAGTGTGTTGAAAGAGCTTCATTGTAGCCGTTCGGGAGGACATTTAGGTACTAAAAGAACACTGGCACGAATTCGGGAAAGATTTAATTGGGTCAATTGTCGACGGGATATAGCAGATTGGTGTAAAAAATGTGATGTATGCAGTGGCATGACAAAGGTATACGGATTCGCTCGGGAACGACTGAAAGCCAACAGCGATAAAGCAGAAGCTAGAATCGACAGGCGTTACAGGCGTGCCACAGGGATACATTTTGAGAGAGGCGATCAAGTATGGCTGTACAATCCCAAGTGCCAAAAAGGACTTTGTTAGAAACTGCAACCGAACTGGGAAGGCCCCTAAACTGTCCTCAAGAAAATCAATGACGTGATCTACCGCATTCAGTTGTCAGCGAGAAGTAAACCCAAAGTAGTTCATGTTGAAAAGTTAGCGCCTTATCGTTGTCCAGATCCTTCCCGTTGGCTCCAACCAGGTCCCAGTAATCAAATTATTCGGAGAGAATAATTAGAGAGGCGAGAGCAATGGTACGCAGCACCCTGTAGTAGCCTGCAGCAGTTATAGGAAACGTACGAATAGAAAAAGTAGTTGAATATTACTCAACGCCCTACAGTGTGCTGCGGTCGTCATAAGTAAAAGTACAAGTAAAAGAAGATAGAATAGTTCAGAAATATCTGGAAATGTCGTTCCACGTCAAGAAAAACCTAGACATTTCAAGAAGGTTCAAGAAGGGAAAAGCAAGCTATACAGGGTGATTCAGAACTTAACGTAAAAAATTAAACGGGATATAGTATAGCATCACAGAAAACCAGTAGTGCGACTTTTGAGGAAAAAAAACCGAAGTAAAAAATACCCCTAGCACGCCTCTGAAAACTGGACGATTGTAGTATGCAATCTCTCCTCCCCGCCTTACGACTGATAAAATCTGGTGACTGCGCTGCCATTTTACGAGGCGTATGCAGAATGTATGAAAATGTAGTATATCGTAATTTGTGACGGGGTAATTTGTTAACAAAAATGCAATAAATTAAACCATAAAATAAAGGATTAACTTACCATTTTTACAGCAGATGTTCAAAATGTTTACCGCCAACCTGAATACACATTTGAGCTCTTCTAATCTAGTTTTCACGAACTAAAGGAAAAATGTGCTCTCTGTCGCGTAGGTCGTTTGCAGCTGCTGTAAGGCGTAACTGCAGTTCTTCAATATTCGGAACTTCTGTCCTGTAAACCTCGTTTTTGAGATGTCCCCATAAAAAAAAATCCAACGGATTCAGGTCTGGAGACCGTGGAGGCCATAAAACTGGTCCACCTCTTCCAATCCACCTTAACCCGTAAACATTATGAAGGTGTTGACGAACTGCTAAACGAAAATGTGGGGGAGCTCCATCGTGTAGGAACCACATCCGTTGACGAACATCTAGAGGCACATCTTCTAGTAGTCCAGGCAAGTCATTTTGAAGAAAATCAAGATATTGTAAACCATCCATTCGATTTGGTAAAATATGTGGTCCAATTAATCGATCGTTTACAATACCAGCCCAAACATTAAGTGAAAACCGATGCTGGAAGTGATCTTGTCGAATCGAATGAGGGTTTTCAAATGCCCAAGAATGAGTATTGTGAATGTTAAATACCCCATTTCGAGTAAATATTGATTCATCCGTAGCTAATACATCAGACAAAAATTCGGGATTTAGGGCTTCTTGCTCCAATACCCATTCACAAAATTGTATTCGCTGTGGATAATCTTCAGGTTGTAACGCCTGGACACGTTGTGTGTGGTAAGGGTACAGCTGTTCCTCATGTAGTATTAGCCAAACGGTTGACTGGGAAACTCCGGGTATTTCTCTAGCAACCTGTCTTGTACTCACGCTGGGATTTTCGTGGGCCATATTTAATATTTGGTCTTCAATTTCCAAAATACGCTGGGGTCGTCCCGGTCCTCCATCCCTTCCGTGATTTGGCATTAATTTACCAGTATCGCGACCGCGTTGTACCACTGAACTAAACGTTGTATGATTGGGTATTCGTCTATTCGGAAAGCGTGCCGCGTATAAACGTCGGGCAGCCAATGAATTTTGTCCTGTCTCACCATACACTAACACCATATCCATTAATTCACCGTTTGTAAACATTGTTTCCACAAATACACTAAACACAGATTACACCGATAAGCCAGACACCTTTTCCCCCGGTAACCTGCGTTGATTCACTGACACTGACCTACTGACATAGAAACGGATCTCGATGTGGACGCCAACCATGGAGAGGGGGCAGGCACGCGTTTCGCATTTGATTGCATCAGCTGGAATCTAAGGTAGCTAAGGTACTTACAGTCGGCCAAATGGATTGTGTTTCTCTGTGTAAAACTTAATAATTTTTTTTTTTCGGCGAAACTAAAGGGAATTTATTAGAATTTTTTTCGCGATATGGGTTTAGAATTTTTTGCTCTATATTCCCTTAATTTTTTTCGGTTAAGTTCTGAATCACCCTGTATATGTCGGTAATCCTGACGTCAGGGAGGCAGTTTGATGATAGACGTTATGTGTTAATGTTATCAGTTGTATAGTTATAGTTAAAGTTGAGTTAAATTAAATTGTGATACCAAGAACCTGCATAACAATACGATACGGCTATGAATAAATAAAAAGTTTGACTTATCTGTCAAAAGAGAAGGTTTGTTAGAGTTAAAACCATGGAAACATGATTAAATCTAAACGAAAACTTTTATTACGCAGATCAGATGTATTAAAATTTTTATTTTAATTACAAATAAGTATTGAAGGATGGCGTATAAATAAAATGTCTACCTGTACTACGTTCTGCAAATTAAATTACTGCACTCCTTTCTTCTCTAGACTATATTAAAATTGTAGATTCAGAACATTTATTTTATTCAATCTGCTCGTAAAGTTGAATATTACTAATACCAAGTCCAAATGAAAGTAATTTAAAACCCATTATCGTCAAAATTTACTAAATAGGGATAATATACTGGAAACAACTACTTTGTATTATTTTATTATTTAACATCAAACAATTACCAATTTGTCTGTGTGCTTAATTTCTGTGACTAGGCACTTATTTATGTACACCCATGTTTTTAATCAATAATATTTTCTTAAATATTTATAATGTAAGTAATATATGTTTTTGCAGAGATTGGAGAATAAGTCATATTTTAAGCCATCATTTGTATACCAATACAATTAACGATTTGGAAATTTCTATGTTTGAGCCTGTTTTGCAGTATTTGCCAATAGAGAAGAAACCATTACAAAAAATGTCATCCGTATTATTAGCACCACTCATATGGATTACGTTTTTCCATACTTCGCTAATCAGAAGGTAAAGACGAATAATTTTAAAATAGGTTCTTCATCATTAATTTTCAATTAATCTCTCTAGAATTTAGTCTTTATAATTATTAGAGGTCCATAAACGTTGGTGAACATTTTAAAGAGTGATCTGAAAAAATTTGATAAATCCATTTCCTAAAAAAAATAGTTAGGTATGATTTTTATGGCATTTGAGTGTGATAAATCCATTGCCCTGCTCCAACGTGCTCTAAACACAATATATCCTATAATAAAATGCATTTGAAAGTGACCGATTCAAACAAACCGAAGTAAATCCAATAACTCCACTTAAACAGAACAAACTCTTTAATAAGTATTTTTAATTTTTTATAATTTTATTAACAATATAAAAATCATTTTTTTTTTCTTAATTGGGAACCTATTCTTAACTTGGTTGGATTTCTGTTTATTTATTATGTACAATTCCCAATAAATTACAAAGTAAATCATAATCAGTGGCTGGTGCGTAAAAAAATGCTGTAGAGCTGCAGAACTGCCAAAAAATGCAAGTACCTCATCTACATTCACATAAATTATTTTATGTAAAATGAATTTTATGGATAATCGCATTAATTATAATTTAGTTTTTATTATTAAATAGTAAATAGGTAGTGTGTGTGCACTGCACCGCTTGGGTTGCCTGCGTTCATCGTCTCCTTTAGTTGTTCTAGTAGTCTTGATAGGAACATGCCTGTCAAAAAGATTAACTTCCAAGTTTGTGAATAGTGAAATTTTCTTGTCAACAGTATTTAGATCAAAAATACAAAAAAATATTCTCAAATTTTAAAGTAGAAGTTTTCAATACACCTTGATCACCAGCGAGTGTCAATCCAAGTTGAGAGGCACATAAGCTTTGTACAGTGAAGATTTTGCCACTTTGCGCATACCTTCCTCAGTGAACATTGAAAGCGGAAAAGGCGTAAATTCATACTCTAGGTATTCTTTCAGTTCATCGTCAGATACTTTTGCCATGCATATGCGTTGAAACAACAGAAGTGGATTGATAATTACAAGAACCGACCCAATCTTCACACCACATTTAGCAGCTGCTAGAGAAAGAACTTTGTCTTTACATTTATATTGATATAGCTAAAATAATAGACGGTATATGCCTCTTTTAGCCGTTACATATTGAAAAAATTGCAAATTTTATCCACAATTTACTGTGTAGTACGGAAAACAATAAATATATTACATACTCGTAAATAATAATAAATACTCGTAAATAATAATAAATAATAATTTGAGACCGAACAAGGGGCACGTATGCTATAAAATAAACAGGATATTCATGACAACTAATGCACAAAGAATAAGGAAATATTGACTGTAGATTCTGATAATTACAAAATCTTTATATCGGAGTATGTAGGGGCGTGCTTCAAAATATCATAGCATTTATTATATACAATAAAATGTATTAAATCAGGCATCTGCAGACTTAGAAATCATTACTCTTTTAGAAAAAAAATATTACATAATTGTTTCATAGCGATCTTCGTCCTAATCCGCGCTGAACCTCTCATTTTGCAAATCAACCCACTACTTTGGCACGTCGTACAGCGGGAACTATTAGTCGCAGACAAAAAAATGCTGCAGTAACCAAAATTGTGCACGATTTTGTCCTGTACACATTTTATTTGAACTTTTTTTCGATAGCACTTACCATAACGGATCTATTTCCAGAATAGCGTCGCAACGCAGAGTTTTCATCCCTCTATCCCTCGAGCGGCAACCCCACGAGGTCGAAAACTTAGGTGTAGTATCAAGGGAGCCATGTCTACCATCCCACCAAATTTCATTTCTTTCCGACCTTCTGCGAATATAAACCACCCACCGCTTGGACTAAATAGGTTAATCTGTTTTTAGGAATAACAATTATAAAAATCAGATGTGTGCAACACATGACTTTCCTATGTAGTTATTACAGGCTTTTTTCGGTCATTTTGTACAACTTATTGTAGCATTTCTGTAAATATTTAGAGGTTAACTTAATATATACATTTTCCACATACATCTAACTCGAAACATTTTTCTATATACACTCATTGCCAACAAAAATGTTTGAAAAATTCAAATTTTTTACTTTTCCTTCAATTTTGTCATTACGGTCCATTTTGGAGAAATTTTGTAGAACATCATCGCAAAAATAGTCAAAACGGATTCAGGAGACCCCAAAACGTAAAAATCCGTCAAAAACTCAATATGCCACATATAGTTTCTTCCAAGTATATTACTAATTATGATCTAGGCCTAAATAATCCAAGACCATAAACTGAAATGAAACTTTAAGGTAGATAATTTTAAAATAGTTTTTCTTAAAACCATGTATTTTCACAAAATCTCAGGAACCGAAAAAACTTTATAATAATGAAAATAAACTTAGAAGATCTAGTTAAGTCATTTTTATTTTATTGAGAACGTAATTAAATTTAGGTTTCTAAAACTTGTTTTATCCGATTTATAAATATTAATATTATTTATTTATTCATTCTAGGTTAATCGATGCACCGAAGTACAATTATCAAAATGTTAAACTTACGGATTTGTCTACTTTTATTTTACCGATATTTATGTATATTTTTGGAGGACAATCATTTTCTTCCTGTTTGGTTATGTGGAACTTTGTTATTTTTGTTGGATCCTTCTACCTTGGTTATGTTGGTCTAAATGCTGGTCATCACCATCCAGAAGTTTTTCATGATGGCGATACACCTAGGTAAGAAAAAAATTGTTATAGTGTCCGTAAACGATATAAGACCGGGGCGTGAGAGGCAAGCAGTGGCGTACCTAGGTTGATTGGCGCCGGTTATTAGATCTCAAACTCCAAAGTCGCACCATTGGGAGGGTGGTGTTTATCTATACTGTGAAATGAAAACTGCTGATTTAAAAATATCTTTTCTCATTTCTTAAAAATACGCTTTCTCTGTGTTTCTTTCAGATCCGACAATTTCGACTGGGGCATTGGTCAACTCGATGCTTTATTGGATCGTAATGAAATTACGGGTTCTCATTTTTTGGTTCTAACTAACTTTGGTGATCACGCTCTTCACCACTTCTTCCCTACTTTGGATCACGGAACGTTGGAGCATCTCTATCCGGTATTCAAGAAAGTATGTAAACAATTCGATGTTGATTTGAGAACGGTTTCGTTATTGGAGACAACCAAAGGAAGTTTTCAGCAATTGATCAGAACAACTCCCAATCCGAGCCCCACAAATTTGAAGAAATTTTCAAAAGATTAGTTAATTTTTATATTTAGAATTAATTTGCACTATGATTGCCGAGGGATAAACCGCTGGAAAAATGTTGTACACTAGTACAATAGTAAGTAAATAGTACATAATTATAAATATTACTGAAATAGTACACAAACTGGACCAGATACTGCAAAATAGTTCACATACAGTACACAAATACTATAGTACAGCAAGTACAGAAATATTACACATAATATACAGATAGAAAACATAGCACAGATTGCTTGTGTACCATAGTACAGCAGCGGTTTACCTCTCGACGGTTTCAATCTCGATAGGCTTTCGGTTCCCTCTCGAACCGATAAAATATTCTTACACATAAAACAATGGGCATATTCACACGCTCGTTGTCACTTGGTTGCCGATTTCATAATACTCCAATAATACCGAAATATCTTTAAGAATATTTTATCGGAACGAGATCGGACTTGTCACACTTAGCACACAATAGTATAAATACATTTTTGAAAAAAAAAAAAACAGAAAACACACTAGAATGGAGTGATAAGTTGAACAAATAATGTAAAGGTTTTAAAAAGTAATTGTAGAATTTTTTATGAAAAATAAAGCACTGGATCGAGTTATTTTACTGAGGCTGCCCTACCTATGGGGCCTCTTTATGGCATTTGTGACGACGAAAACATTTTCTAACCCCTACTATTTATTAACACTTTTCGAAGCGAGGGTCCCCATCTAACTTATTTATTTTCGGAATTTTCGGTTCGACCTAACTACTTTAAATATCAATGTTTTTAAAATCCAATGCATTTCTTATTTGGCTCATCTTATGCACTTCAACATAGTGACATAAGACTATATGGATGGCTATGCCTGTCGACTATGAAATCACATAAATTTTTTCTCGTTCATTAAAAAATGTCCTCTACAGTTTTAAAATGTACCTATATTTTATTAATTTTCTCACTTAAAATACTATTGATTATACACTATATAATCATTATTCACTACTTTTTATCCCTACTATTCTAATGTGTTAAGCATTGATATTATTGTAACTATTGCAATTTTTACCCATTTTATTAGTAGGCCGTGGCTGTCATCTAAAAGTGGAGTTAATCATTCAAACTAAAACGGTTGACTGCAAAATAATTTAAGAAATATTGGACTAAAACTAAGAAAAATTGGATTCAGAAAATGGAAATGTCTTTAACTCCGCCACAAGTGAAAAATCTGCTAAAATTGCTGACTTTATTGCTAGAAAAGCTATGAAAATTGTATATGGCGGCGTATGAATCTCTCTTAAATTGGAAACAGAAAAAACACAAAATAGTATTTGGAATTTGTTATGTTGGTGTATTTTAGAGGCCTATTCACAAAGAAATCCCCGACACTATGGACCACACATAATACAACTTATTCATAAAACTGATTTTTAAGCGTTTCAAATAGACAATGGATCATATGGGTCATTCTATAATTCCAAAAAAGAAATGTAATTCACTACCAGCCAATATGTGTTATAATGGCATTGATATAGAAACTAGTGCCGCTATTGCATCTGCTTCTGTCAACTATTTTAGTGAATCATTTTTAGACAACCCTGTAAATGTTTTTCCCCCTTATTTGATGTTATTTCTCCTAACGATGCTTTGGTAAGCCCAAGGTCTCCAAAGACGACGTAATCGAGTCCAAGACAAATATGACTATGGGTACAGATAATGTTCCTGCGTTTATTGTTTGTGATGGTTTATTTGTTTTTGCCAAGCCGCTTAGTATCAATCTGATAATGTTTTTCTCGAGATATAAAAAAATTCAAAAACTGTCCCGGTGTACCAAAAGGGCAACATAAATGATATTACAAATTAGAGACCAATCGCTATTATCTGCAGTATTCAAAATCACTGTTACCAAAACTCAATTTATCAGCGAAATATTGGACCGAGGTGATCAGATAGATGTGATCTACACTGACTTTACAAAGCATTTGATCGCCTTAGTCATCCAATTTTGTTATCCAATTTGAATATGTTGAATTTACCTGACAATGTACTATATCTCCTTAGTTCCTATTAAAGTAATCGTTCCCATAATATCCTTATTAGTGGTGTTAAATCTATCTTTATATTTTAAGTACTACAAGGTTCCATTTTAGATCCATTATGCTTTATAATATTCATTAACGATATTTATAATAATGTAAATGTACAATATTTACTCTATGCTGATGACCTGAAGCTTATTTCAAAGATTGATAACATCAATGACTGTGCGTTACTGCAATCCGTTATGAACTAAATTCACAATTGGTGTATAAATAATAATCTTACGTGTAATCCTTCAAATTGCAACGTGTTATGTCATATACGCGAAAGGTTGATTGATACGATTACAATATAGGAGGAGTCGTCCTGCAGAGACCTGACACGAATAAAAACCTTGGCGTTGTATTCGATTCAAAACTATCATTCGTTAATCATCTTGCCGTAACTGTCGCTCCATCTTCCGGTCTATCAAAGATTTTAATAATCCAGATACTTGCAAATTGTTGTTCAATACCCTTATTAGGTCCAAGCTTGAATATGCCTTAGTAATATGGTCCCCTAATTATAATTCGCATGTCTTAACTTTAGAAAAGATTCAGGGACGTTTTATTAAGAGTCTTCATTATTATTTTCATGGAACCTACCCCGAGAGAAGATATCCACAAGAACAGCTTTTAGCAATATTTGGAATGCAGAGCTTATTTCAACGTAGAAATATATATTCAATAATTTTCATTTACAAAATAGTACACCATTTAATTAAATGCCTTGCTCTGTGTGCTGAGCTTAACTTTTTTTCCTAGAATCAATTCTAGGCATCTGTATCTGTAATGTATGGAGGGTGGGTTACCCCACGGTACTGGCCTCATTGGGCCCATTGTGCATCCTCCTGAGAAGATAGGCACCTCCTAGCTCGTGAGCCAGTCTACAGATTTAATGTGGTTGACAACGTCGCCATGAGGTGCTTCTCTTATATCGGCCGGTGTTAGCCGATACTCGGCGAACACAAATCTTCTAATAAATGAGAGCGTCGAGCAATCGTAACGGATATGCTCGATGGTCTCATCTTCTTGTTTGCACCCTCTGCAGAGTGCGGATTCTGACAGCCCCATGATATGGAGATGCTTTCGTACTTGGCAATGACCAGTCAGAATGCCTGTGACTAGGTGCAGATTCTGTCTAGTCGTAGTCAAGTATTTGTTTGCTGAAGTGTTGTCAGGATAACTTAAGAGCTTCCTGGCAACTCTGCAGTTTCTTGTTCCATCCCATCTTTTCTTGAATTTCACAAGGGAATGTTCTTGGATTAGGTCTGTCACTACCGATTTTGCCAGGCCAATAGAAAGGCCAGGTCCAAAAAGTATTTGGTTGGCTGCTTTCTTGGCTAGTGAATCAGCAAAACGGTTACCTTTCGATGTGGCGTGACCTTTATAATCCATCTTAAGGTGGCATAGCTGCACATTCATTTTTTCCACTCCCAGAACAAATTTACTATGTCAGTCTCCATTGCATCGTATGCTGTTTACGGTTAATGACTTAAGTGGATGTATATTTTCTTGTATGTAATGTTCTTTTTTCATATTTCAACTTTGTTTCTAATGCGTTATGTGTGATTAATCTTTTTTCCCCACTGGAGTTTTTTTTTTAAGATTACACTCACAATCTCGTTATTTATAGTTTAACTTTTTAATGTGTTTTTCCCTATTTGTTGTATTATATACCCATAATGTTTATTAATGTATATTGCGCGTTCTGGAATGGGCCTTAGCCGTCGGATGTATGATTAAATAAATAAAATAAATAAGGGTGATGGTAGAGGTACGACTTCCGTCAGAATGGGAGAATCGTTAAAAAGCAAATTGGAAATACAATCCAATTTGAAAAGTATTTTATTCAAATTAATTATCTATATTATATATAATACATAGTTTTTATATTAAACGTTCCTTTTTTTCTGCAGTGCATTAAAACATGATAGTATTTCGAAGATAAACAATTTTCTTTCGTCGCCTTTGGCTTGAATTCTAATCTATAATATAAAAATTTCCTCTAAAACGAAAGATATGGTAATAATTTAATTTTTTACAAATTTGATCCATCTTGACCATAATTCTCCAAAACTATCATTTTACATCCAAATAAAACGTTTTACAAGAAAATAAAACACTACATAAACGTTATGTAAACATCAACACAAAACTAAAATAATATATTACTGTCAACAATTTATAATGCCCTTTCGTTTCTAGATAATTAATTTGGTAATAATTATATTAAAATAAAACCAAAATATACTATGAACATTTTTATGTGAAAATCTTAATTAAAGTATTTTTTAAAAATTGAGAAAAAATTTGAAAATAATTGTATTAAAATATCAATAACTGTGATTTTTTATGTATCACTAATATTGCTTTATTGAAGAACAAAAAATTTTATATGGAAATGTCAACAGTGTGTAAGAGAACATGAACTTTTTCCTCAACTCATCTTAGATTGTGACTTAATATTGGAGCCAGACAATTATGTCCCTATTCCTTCTATATTTATTATGTGGACCAATTAGTCATCAAGTAATAAATCTAGAAAACTATACAAAACTACGAAAAAGTTTTCAACCTCAAAAAGCTAGTACTTTCTCTGGAGAAAATATGAATGATTTTCTAAATAAAACATCAGATGCCAAATACCTTGAACAAATGGAAAGATATTAAGGTTTTTCTATTTATATTACAATAACTAGGTATTTTTAAGGTTAATGGCAATAATGCTAAATATACTATTACCCATATTTTTTTTGAAATGTGTAAAAACCATCAGTAATCGACAAACTCATGCTGGAGGTGATTTGCTATTTTTAAACTATCAAAAGAAGAATTATAATTAATGAATTTACCAAAATGTGAAGATTCTCTACGTAGTTTAGACTAAAAGTAACTTCAGTCCTTCACAAACTTAAAAATTCAAAGTTTTAATACTTCTCTTTCTCTTTAGGTCTTTCATCAAAATCAGATCGTGTTTAGTTTATGTAAAGCTACGAGTTTGTCCGTGGGGCCCTCAATCTCTTTAAACTTAATTATTTCTTGTGCCTCCAGTGATACCTGAACAGTAAACTTTAAATACTTTATAAATGGTAAATTTTGTAAGAATTTAGAAATGTTGCTACTAGAACAACAAAAAAGAGAAGCAACTCCACAATTTACAACTACTATATATGCAAGTTAATAACTTGTTTGGGTTTTGTTGAAAATACTTCACTACACCAAGTTTGAAAGGTTTCACAAAGATTATTCATTTATAACTAGTTTGTTTTTGTTTTAAATAGTTTTGAATATTTTGAATCAGTAGAATACTTTTTCTTTTAGTTGAGAAAATTAAAGGATGTTCTATGGATTCATTCACAAAAAAATGTTTCATTTTAAGTATCAGTTTGGATTTAATTCAGAACTGTACGTCATTATTACGGACATGACTAGTATTATCTTTGTCTCTGTCGGTCATGGTCTAATGATGAAATATTTTTTTGTAAGTCCACGTTCTATAATTTAAAAGTAAAAAATTCAAGGAATAATCTTACAATCAACGATGGTGAAACTATTTCATTTTACATTTCTTCAATGAAAAATTTGTGTCACAAATCAGAATTTTGGTTGGAATTTCTAAAAGAAATCTTTGTAATCTTTTATGTATTTTAAATATTTTTCGCTTAATTTTTCACTATTGTCCAAAATATTCCTGTTAATACAATGGGGAAGTTTCGAAAAAGGCAGACGTCTTCTGAACTTCCGAAGGTTAGATGCATTACTTTAATTATGTTTTTTTCGTTTAAAAACCTATGGATTTCTCTCAGGCAAATTTCAATGCAAAATTTCTGTCACAAATCAGAATTTTGGTTGGAATTTCTAAAAGAAATCTTTGTAATCTTTTATGTATTTTAAATATTTTTCACTAAATTTTTCACTATTGTCCAAAATATTCCTGTTAATACAATGGGGAAGTTTCGAAAAAGGCAGACGTCTTCTGAACTTCCGAAGGTTAGATGCATTACTTTAATTATGTTTTTTTTTCGTTTAAAAACCTATGGATTTCTCTCTGGCAAATTTTAATGCAAAATTTCTGTCACAAATCAGAATTTTGGTTGGAATTTCTAAAAGAAATCTTTGTAATCTTTTATGTATTTTAAATATTTTTCACTTAATTTTTGACTATTGTCCAAAATATTCCTGTTAATACAATGGGAAAATTTTGAAAAAGGCAGACGTCTTCTGAACTTCCGAAGGTTAGATGCATTACTTTAATTATGTTTTTTTCGTTTAAAAACCTATGGATTTCTCTCAGGCAAATTTCAATGCAAAATTTCTGTCACAAATCAGAATTTTAGTTGGAATTTCTAAAAGAAATCTTTGTAATCTTTTATGTATTTTAAATATTTTTCACTTAATTTTTGACTATTGTCCAAAATATTCCTGTTAATACAATGGGGAAATTTTGAAAAAGGCAGACGTCTTCTGAACTTCCGAAGGTTAGATGCATTACTTTCATTATGTTTTTTTCGTTTAAAAACGTATAGATCTCTCTCAGGCAAATTTCAATGCAAAATTTCTGTCACAAATCAGAATTTTGGTTGGAATTTCTAAAAGAAATCTTTGTAATCTTTTATGTATTTTAAATATTTTTCACTTAATTTTTGACTATTGTCCAAAATATTCCTGTTAATACAATGGGGAAATTTTGAAAAAGGCAGACGTCTTCTGAACTTCCGAAGGTTAGATGCATTACTTTCATTATGTTTTTTTCGTTTAAAAACGTATAGATCTCTCTCAGGCAAATTTCAATGCAAAATTTCTGTCACAAATCAGAATTTTGGTTGGAATTTCTAAAAGAAATCTTTGTAATCTTTTATGTATTTTAAATATTTTTCACTTAATTTTTCACTATTGTCCAAAATATTCCTGTTAATACAATGGGGAAATTTCGAAAAAGGCAGACATCTTCTGAACTTCCGAAGGTTAGATACATCATTTTCATTATGTTTTTTTCTTTTAAAAACCTATAGATCTCTCTCAGGCAAATTTCAGTGCAAAATTTGTATCACAAATCAGAATTTTGGTTGGAATTTCTAAAAGAAATCTTTGTAATCTTTTATGTATTTTAAATATTTTTCACTTAATTTTTGACTATTGTCCAAAATATTCCTGTTAATACAATGGGGAAATTTTGAAAAAGGCAGACGTCTTCTGAATTCCCGAAGGTTAGATGCATCACTTCCGTTATGTTTTTTTCGTTTAAAAACCTGTAGATCTCTCTCATGCAAATTTCAATGCAAAATTTTTGTCACAAATCAGAAGTTTGTTTGGAATTTCTAAAAAAAAACCGTTTCATCTTTTTTGTATTTATAATATTTTTCTCTTAATTCTGTACTATATATATTCATACAAATATTGTCCGAAACATTTCTATTGATGCAATGGGGAAGTTTTAAAGAAGGCAGACGTCTTGATGCACTACTTCTTCTTCTAAACTTCCGAAGGGTAGATGCCTCACTCTAATAAAGAAATATTTTTTGTAGTTCATGTTTTATAATTTAAAAGTAAGAAATTCAAGAACTTATTATATAAACAACGATGGTAAAACTATTTCATTTTACATTTCTTCAATGCAAAATTTGTGTCACAAATCAGAATTTTAGTTGAAATTTTTAAAAGAAATCTTTGTAATCTTTCATGTATTTTAAATATTTTTCATTTAATTCTTCACTATTGTCCGAGACATTCCTATTAATACAATGGGGAAGTTTCGAAATAGGCAGACGTCTTGTGCACTACTTCTTCTGAACTCCCGAAGGGTAGATGCCACACTTCCATAATGTTGTTTTCGTTTACAAACCTATAGATCACTCTCAGGCAAATTTAAATGCAAAATGTATGTTACAATTAGAATTTTGATTGGAATTTCTTAAAAAAATCGTTGTAATCTTTTATGTATTTCTAATATTTTTCATTTAATTCTTCACTATATATTGTTATGGTAAATTTTTCATTTTTTAAATTAAAGTAAATTTCACATATTGAAAATTATGCAGTATTATAATAATTTGATTTTGAAACGGGCTTTGAAAAATGGGAGATGGATTTTGATATAAAAAAAAAAGAGTTGTCAATTTTGAAATTTGGAAAATGTCAGTAATTTAAAAAAAATAGGATTGTAAATTAAAAGGGATAAGAATCATTTAAATAAGCAAACTTGAAGATATTTTGTAAAGGATTATAAGAACTATAAACATGTATAAGAAAATAAAGAGTACATAGAAAGATGGTAGGCGAATAATGTAAGACCAGAAACCCAAGAAAAAAGGAGACAATAGTAGCAGAGACAACAGAGACGTGTAACTTAATAGGAAAATATGTTCGGTGGTCCATTTAAATTACATATATGACCCTCTTTTTCTTTTACATTGACCTTTACATATGTCTATCTCTCTCCAATAAAACTAACACCATTTTCAGAGGGCGCTGGTGTTGCTGGTTTTTTGACGTCGAAATATCGATTAAAACTGACAACTGACAATGTTATGAATGTTGTTATGAACATGTGCATTTTATTAAAATTAATTTAATTTGGGCCCGTATATTTCTTTGAGTCTGATTTTGTTGTTTAATTAATTTTCTTTGGGGGGGAATGTTTATTTTTGCATATTTTTTTTGCATGAAGCAATTTCTGGAACCAAACTCGCGTTTTTGTACACATTTCTTTCTAGAGGTAAGTAATTTCCAATTTATTAAGAAAACCACTGTATAATGTGTGTGTTTAATAATATATTACATAATGACTATAATTATTTTAGGTGAATTGGAACAGAGATCCATTGTTACAGCTACTTGTGTTCATTAAGTAGGTAGATGAATGTCTGGACAGCTTTAATGGTAGCACAAAGTTCCTACCTATCTACTAGAAAAGTAAAATGTATGCTGAATAAAAAATCTGTACATGTAGTATTGGCAAAGGACTTTTGAAATGATTAGAGATTAGCTATTTCTTACATACACCTACCTCTAACAGCCACTCTAAAGGAAGAAAAAAACATTGAATCACAAAAGGGCAGAATTTTAAATCAGGATGCATTGGAAAATAAATTTGGGGACATCAGGTCGGTTCTGGATTTTATAGAGAGATCAATCTCAAGAAAAGTTAATTTATCCTGCAGAACAACCAGTAGTTTAAGTAGGATTTGGTATAACTTTATTAGAAGATTTCCTTGATAATAAATTGTAATATAGGTACCAATTGTTTCAAATCAAAAAAAAGTTAAATTCAAAATTAGATTTTTCATGGGTAAAATGTTTTATTCATTCAAAAATTGTAAGGTAATCTATAATTAAGGGAATATGGAAAATAGGTATACCCTGGTGGTGTAAGAGACAGGTAAGGGGCAATGACAAAAAAATTACAAAAATGTATTCATCTTTAAATAGTGTTTATTATTAATATTATTTGCTATGTTTGAAAAGTACCTCCTGTTGCAGAACAGATCGAATAGATTAGACGACTAGTTGGAGAAGGTTCACCTAGTAACCAAATTAGGAGACTAGGAAAACTTTTACATGACTGGGGACACAACAAGAATGCACACCCACAAGATACACAAACGAAAAAACAGGGGTAAGCCTTCAGCAACGTCCTGTTTAAATGATAGTATGTCATCCTTCATTCCCTTTTAGACTCAGGCCTTATACATTTGTGTTGAGTGTATGTGTGTGTTTGTTTTGTTTCCATGGTTTCTATTAAAATAAACAGTCATAACATATCGATACCTTTTTGCCAGACTAACATAAGCGACATTTGTTCAAATGTCAAATGTTACATTAGTTTTTAAATATATTATGAATATTTAACAACTGTTACTTTGTAATTTGTCACAAAATTATAGGAGGTACTTTCTGAACATAGCAATTGTAGTTTGTTTTTCTGTACCTTACAAAAATATAATTTATAGAAAAAGAGTTTGGTGTATTATTTTTCCAAGTTTAAATATTTAATAATCAATAGAATTTTCAAGTTTTTTTAGCGAAATTTACAAGAGTAATAAAAACTATGTTCACTGCTTATATTAAACTGATAAAACTTCCTTTATTAAAATGATTATTTATATGATAAACATTTTGATGTTATTGGAAGCTTTTATATTTTTTAATAAACAGTGAAACAATAGTTTTTGTTTCTCTTGTAAATTTGTTGTATACAAAAACGATATCTGAATCCATGTTTGAATTTCCCGCCCTAAAGCATTTTTAAGTTTCCCGCTATTTACTAGTGGCGCCATCATAGACTGGTTGTGGTTACAATCGCCCAAATAAGTTTTACCGAACAAAAAAAATACATTGAGTTACACGTCTCGCTGGATTGTCTCTGATAGTAGTGATAACGAGATAGTGAGTACGGCATATACAAAACATTTTATTTTGTAAAAGCATTGACTAGTATTTTTTTAAAAGAATAAAAGGTATTCTTATTAATTTGTTAGTTTAAAGAATTTGACAATTGTAAATATAGTTATAATTAGTATTTTTAGTAGTTTTCATCAATGGCTAAGTGATAGCCTTAATTAAATTATACTTATTGATTTTTTTTGTAAATTTTTGACAAGTTTCAATTTTAGTAGGTGTAGTAGGGTAGGTTGTAAGTTATTTTTCTTCAAGATATTTAATATCTGTTCAATTTTCCAATGATGAGTTGTTAAAATTAAACTATAAGCTAATAATTTTATAAGAGTTTGTTTATTTAAACATCTTTATTTCTCAGTATAACAAAATATAGATAATTATCAAAGTTTTTCCATCTACGATCAATTTTGCATAATTTCAAATAAATTCTATAAAAAAATTAAAATAAAATAAAACTAAAATAAAAAATTAAATAAATTAAAATATAATTCATAAAAGAAGATAAACAAAATAAAACAAGTGTTATTTAATAATTTTGAAGCACCCCTGAGTTTAAGAAAATCTTTGTTCCAATTATAAATCACAGTGGCGAGCCAGGGTAAATAATTTTTAAAATTGAATTTAAAAAAAAATGATATACAGTATAATATCATTTCAATATATTCATATAAATATTGTCCGAGACATTTTTGTTGATACAAAAGGGAAGTTTTGAGGAAAGCAGACGTCGTCTTACATGCACAACTTCTTCTGAACAACTGAAGGGCAGGTGCGTCACAATCTGTCTCAGGCAAGGACAGAACCATGGATTTTAACAGTCCAATTTCCTCTAATGCTTGTGTTCTAACTACCGAAGAGCAGAAGCATCAATTCTACAATGTTGTTTTCGTTTAAAATCCTATAAATCTGTCACAGGCAGAACCATGGAGCTAATTTTTCTAGATAATGCTTGTGTTCTAATAAAAAATGTGGATCACAAATACATCATTGGTTACCTCTTAAATATAGTGTTATCCAGGTACCATAAATTCGGAGTTTGGTCAAAACTATTCCTTTCTATTTGATATATTATTGTGAGACAATTAGTTAATTTATGGAGCGTATCTTTCGTCACAACAGTAAAAAATTGCATTGAAGCGAAAGTAGGAACTCCATTTTTAATTTGAAATTTTGACACGTGAAAATAATAGTTTTTTATATCACGTATATTGGTTTTCTTAAGATAAATAGAGTTTTGGGACACTTCGGAATATTTCTTTTCTACATTTTGGGTAAATTAAAAAACGCTGATTCTTGACTATCTCCTTTTATACTAGATTTTATTGACACACATTTTAAATGTGGAATAGCTTTAATAGTATTTGAAAATATTTTTTTATTTTAATGTTTTTCTAAATGCATACACTTTAAAGGATTCAACGTTTATTGTTAAATCGGATACGTTTTCATAAGTTTTGTTCAAAATTTCTTGAGAAATTGCATCACATGTTACTATGAAACCACTTTTTACGCATTGATAACCTCTATACTTTCTAAAATCACTAAGCAAAAACATGACATCATAATATTTCGGATCACAAACATTGTTTAGAACATTTCCTCTTATTATTTTTGAAAATGATTTTGATTCGACCAGATTAACACGTTGATCACGACAAGCGAAAATGACACTCGTAGGCATTTTATTATGATTAAAGTGCGCAATAATTAATAAAACTTGTTTACGATTTTCTTTTAATTTTAAAAATGTTATCTAGTCTTCTATGCGTATATATGCCGACACGATAACTCTAGAAAGAAAGTACCGATTGACTTGCGGTTTTGATTTTCGTAAATAACTTCTCCTATCTTAGAACTCATCTAATTTTTAGAATTTTCGGATTAACCCAGCTACTTTAAATATCAATGATTTTAAATTCTGATGCATTTCTTATGGAACTTATTTTATTGACTCCAACATAGTGACATCAGATATGGATATGGATAGCTATGTTTGTTAACTGCTGGTGTTATTCTTAAATGGTAAAATCATTTAAACAATTTTGGATGTCAATTAAAATATTTTTTCTACAACAACTTTAGGAACTTGTTATCACGTGACGGAAGTTTGTCGAGTATTTTGGCTACAAAAAATGCCGAACTACGCATTTGGCTCAGGAAAAGAGGTGGCACAGGTACATTTTTGAGGTCTGTTAATCAATAGCTATCCCATCATTGTTATCTTGTTATCAAATTACGACGTTTCTGAGTTGGAATGGTACCTTTTTTCAACTAGTACAATTTCTTTTTATTTTGTTTTAGGTAAACGTTATTTTTATGAACTTTTATTAATTAAAATTATAAATTTTAATAAAAACTTTATCCAATGTTTAAATTTTGTATTGGATAAAAATTGATCAATGTGGCTGTGATTGTACTAAAACCTGGGGTATATTTTCACACATTGGAGGGTCCAGAGTTTATTAAATGGTATAATAAGGAGATTTCTTTGTTTCATTTCGTTCCTAATGTTTGTTTAATTTAGGTTGGGGACAAAAAAAAAGTAGTGTGCTGGCATGCTGCAATTCGAAATGGTGCCATTATTTTTTTAACTTGAATACAGTAAATTTTGGTACTAGACGGACTACGCCTTTTACCACTCAGACCAAAACCAGAGCCAGTGCTATAAGTATAAAGACTAGAGAGAAGGAGGCGAATCAGCATACCCGAAATACGGTCCCAAAAAACGAACGCTAATTGAGCTTTTACAATTCACCGCAACGGCGCTGGTGTTGTTAGTGATATTAAAAATACATGGTAATTTTGTGAAAATAATAAAAATAAACTTGTTTATTGCTAAATAATAAAGCACAAAAATGTTGGTTTTTTTTAAATGTGTCTTGCATATTTTTAACCGACTTCAAAAAAGGAAGAGGTTATCAATTCGTCGCGATATATTTTTTTTTTATGTATGTTCAGCGATTATTCTTTAACGCGGTGTCCGATTTTAATAATTTTTGTTAGAAAGGTGCTACTTCAGGGGTGGTCCCATATAAATTTGGTCAAAATCTAGTAATTGGGTCCATAAGAAAATCCTCAAACTCTTCATTTTTTATGTATGTTTAGCGATAATGCTTTACCACCTTGTCCGATTTATATGATTCTTTTTTTGTTAGTAAGGGGGGTACCTCAGAAGTGGTCCCATATAAATTTAGTTAAGATGTGGTGATGGCATCTGCACGTTTTTGAAGTCGGTTTTTTTAAATTTTTAATTTCTAATACTTGTAAAATTTAATTACCTAAAAATATTAAAAACTATTTAAAATAACTTGTAATTAATAATTTTTTTTAATTTTATCTATATTAAATGCACATTAGGTATGACCAAATTAGAAAAGGTTTGTTAAATGGTCAAATTTGGAAAGTACACTTTTGTGGCAATTTTTTTTTGAATTATACCTAATTATAGTTTTAAGAGCCAACTAAAACACAGTTAACAGATTTTTTTATTGCTATAATACAAGTATAAAGGGAGATTTGGAAATATACATAATATTGCCTCATCTATTAAATTTGGTCTTCCTCTTTTTTTCTAACAGTACCATCAGTACAAATTGTCTTGTAATATTTGAAAATATCTTCTTAAACGTGTAGCTCGCAAACAGCATAATCTTTAGAAAGTACTTTATTATCCCTATGAATAATAATAATAATAATAATAATAATAATAATAATAATAATAATAATAATAATAATAATAATAATAATAATAATAATAATAATAATAATAATAATAATAATAATAATAGTCTTTATTATTTTCACTACAAAAATTATCGGTATAACAAGATATATATTGAAAATAAAAGGCGAAGTTCAACTTTTATGAAGAAATACTCCATAAAACTTCTATTCCATTTAACTTAAAAATCGTGCATGCGCAGTACTTAGGTACTACAGAAAAAGTATATAAACAAAAATATAAATTATAATTTACAGTTTTTTTAAATTTAATTAGAATTCTAGGTAGGGCCTCAGAAACAAAAAAAAATATAATAATATTATGTAATTTGATGATAAAATAAATTTTCTTTTAATAATAATCTAAATTTGTTAGACTTTTGATTTACAATTTTTTGGGAAATTCCATTTAAAATATAGTAGATCTGATAACTAAATGACCGTCGAAATATTTCAAGTTTGAAAGAAGGAGTAGTTAACGAGCCCTTATTTCTAATATTTAAATTGAACGTCTGTCCGCAATGTTATTTTTCTAAGGAGGTAGGACGGTTTTTTTCTGTACATAATTTTGTAAAACAAACAGGCAGAGTGTCATACTCTTCTATTGTCCATGTTCAACCAATTTCTTTTAGTTTATGGAAGATTCTGCAACGTCTTCTAATTTCAAATATTAAACGGAGGCAGCAGTTTTGTATTTTTTGAATTTTTTTCTTATATTGGACAGCTAAACATGGACTATAGAGAGCATCAGCGTAATTAAATATAGCCAAAACTAGTGA